TTAATAACTATTTCAACCAATTACGATTGAGTAGATAATATAACGATAATATAATTACATTATTCAGCATGTGAATCTATAGGTCCCTGTGAATTGATATATGAATCCATTGTTCTACAAGATGCGATATTGTACACTTACGGTAATTATAATATGTAAGGAAAACGCATATCAAATATATATATATAATACGCGTTTTCCTTACATATTAACATATCAAACTTAAATTTTCGATTTCACTATATATTGGGATAGTGATATAGCTCATAAATTGACCAAGTAACTCACAATCTTAGAGCTCATGCAACTAGAAGTGTTGATATTTGATGCAACGTGTTGTACAAAAGTAGGTAAAAAAAAAAGAAAAAAAAATCGCCGACCTATAAAATAATAAAAACATTAGTTGAGTCGTTGAAGTTTGTGCTGCAATTGCCACAGCTGAGTGTAGAAATTACACTCAATAGATTTATTTTTACGAAAAGTTTTTGTAATTTTGCTTTAATTGGTGAATTTTATATTTTACATGTGCAAAACGAGAATTAGATGCCCATGGGAAAAAATGGTCAAAAAAAAAAGGAAAATTGCAAATAAGAAAATAAAATCAAATTTGGAAAATTGAATCCTACAACATATATAGTAGAGTCCATTATGTCTATTATAACCAGACAATGAAAAGTAATCTCAAAGGCTACAACTCTTATCTCAAGCAGTTTTCCACAATTCGACCTCTAATTCGGATCACAGATCTTGATGGGAAAAATAACGAAAATTGAGTCAAATTAGTTTTTATTATTTTCAAAAATCTATAAAAGCAACAACTCTCGGCACCATAAGCACAAAATTTTGCACTGAAAAGGGAGAAGACGGCATGGGAGCAAGGTGGAGGCATGACGGACTTCTGCCATACTTTTTATTTCTTTTCTCTTCTCTTTGATTATGAATCTTTGTATTTTTATGATGTTTTTCATAGAGAGTATGCTTAAGCTAAACTTTTATTCTGGAATTTTATTCAAACCCTATATGAGATTTGCGAACCTAATTTTTGCAAGTGTTTAATTCCATAGTTTCTTCTAATTGATTTGTTTGAATGTTGATAATCTTATATATAAAAGAAAGAAACGCTGGGCAACCCTAAAAAACCCTAATGGTGTTTCTGTAATTATTTATTTTTAATATTTTTTTCTACTAATTTTCTTACTATCATTTTCAACAATTATCAATCTCCTATTTTTCATCAATATATCTCAAATCTTAAGAGATAAAGATAGAAATTCGATTTGCTAATCGTAATCTATATATTTGGATTATAAATCTTAATATGCACAATATTTAAAAAAAACTAATGTTGTATACAATATGAATAATACTACATTATTAAATTTTACTATGTACTGTATTTTTTTATTATGTATTAAATTGATTATTTTTTCACTATTTTTAAATAATATCCGTGCATCGCACGGGAAAAAAATGCTAGTAGTAGCTAATTTGAGATAGTTATCTGCTTTCGTAGTTAACTTAGTTGATTAGCTTTAATTAAAAAAACTCAATTTGATTCGGTTGAATAGGATCATAAGAATTTAGTACTTATAATTAGATAGTTGAATATCTTTTGTGAGTTCGACATCCAACTCTTCGGCGTCAATTTTCTCATCTACTCCATTTTACTTTCTCAAAATTTGGGCCAAGATGAATCAGAATATCTTCACACTCCACTTGGCATGATCACTGTTTCTCAAAATTTTCTCAAAGCTCCTCATGTCCAAGATCTTCCCTGGAATGGAGATAATTTCCTCTCAACTGAATCAGGTCAAAATAATCTTGGTACTGAAGGTGTTGCTTCTCATGTTGACAACACTCCTAACATTCTTGTTTCTGTTCCTAGAGATCTTCTGTTACAACAACTTACTCACTCTCTAGCTCAGATTACTTATCACCAGTCCATGGTGGACATGCTCCAAAAGGCTCTTTCTGATCAAAAAGGGGGAGAAAAAACTAGTCATGAAGCTGAAGCAGGGACTTCTCACCCTTTGGATGCCAGAGGAAGAGAGCAAGGAGTTAATGAAGAAGGAGCAAAGAATGAGGGTGAAGCTCAAGGAGCAGAGGAAAGCAGTGGATCCAGTGCTAGTGATGGAGGAGCAGCAGCTGATACTGAGGAGACTTTGGATCTAAAGTTATTTTTATGAACAATATTTGTTTTTGTTCAATTTGTTATTTTCCCTCTGAACTTTTATGCTAGGATGCACTATTTTGTTATTTGCTATATTGGTTATCATATTCAGGGGGAGTTCAAGCAATGACTCAGGGGGAGTTGAGCTAAAATTTAGTTTTGATCAGAAAGTTAAAAAGGGGGAGTTTGAAACACGTGGATTATGTCCACATTTTGTTTTAACTTTCTTATTTTCTAACTAAATTTTAGTTATGGAATAAATAGTGCTTAGTGGGTTAAGTATAGTGCTTAGTGGGCTAAGTAGTGCTTAAGTGGGTTTAATTGTGAATATTATTCTAACTCCTTAAACTAACCCACTAACCCATTTTCTTGAGTGCTCTTGTGGTTGGTTTTCTTGCAGATCATGGGCTGAGGAGTGGAAGCTTGGAATGTCTATAAATACCGACTTCAAGACTCAAGAAAGTTGATCGATTCCAAGAAATAAACACCAAGAGCTGAAAAGAATACATGAGTGTTTTAGTGTGTTTTTAGAATCGGTTGATTGTACTCCTCATGAGTACAATCTTTACGTACTCCTCATGAGTACATTCTTTACGTACTCCTCATGAGTACATTCTTTACGTACTTCTCATAAGTACATTCTTTGTAGTCTAGATTGTTTAGTATATATGTTTCTAGACTTGGTTGTAAGAATGATCAAGATAGTGATTCATTCATAAGTTCTGTACGTACTCCTTATGAGTACATTATTTGAAATCTAGAATTTTTAATATTTTTCTTTTAGTATCTAGATTTGATTGTAAGGATCATCATGAGAATGATTCATTCATAAGGAAGAAGTTTTTGCACCTCTTCTGTTTGTATTCTTGGAATACTGATTTTAATATATTTTTTCCGTCCTGTAAAGGGCAAGTTCACAAGTCTTTACTTGTGAACATTTTTAATTCTGAGTATTGTTCTTTTATCTTTATATTTCCGCTGCATGTTTGTTCAAGTGTCATAACACTTAAGATAACATCTCTGTATTAAACGAATTCGGGACCATAAGTTCTTTCAATTCTTACGGGACAATTTAGAAATAATTTAGTTAGTTAAGCATCCGGATTGTTAATTAACTTGTGTCAATAGTTTAATTAAGCAGGCCATTACATTTTTTTATATTTTCTCAATCAAAATAATAATTTTTATTCTGGTCGAAGATCCAATACATTTATTTATATGTGGTAACTAAAAAATTATTGGCGTGCCTAAATGGCGGCCCTACACGCTTAAACCAAGGCGCAGGGAAAGAGATGGTCGAAAATTACGCTAGAAGGGATTGTCTTCAAGCAATTATGGCACTCAAAGGAGGGGAACTTACGGAATCATCTTTTGGAGCATACATAGAAAATTGTTGCAGTATTGCTAAAACCTTTGTTTCATGTCAGTTTAGTTTTGTTAAGCGGTCCGGAAATGTTCTAGCTCACCATATAGCTTCAATGTCTGTTTCTTCTTCTACTGAGGGAGATGTCCTCCCAGCCTTTTTGGCACTATTTAATTAATGAAATTGATGTTTTTACTCAAAAAAAATGGGGAAATTATAAAATTAGTTACTGGTCAACAGCGAATAGAACTTTATTGGTGTTTGTATTTGGACCCAGATCTTAGCATAAATTGAATTTCTTGAAATTGCAATTCGATCCTTGGACAAATACTTAATCGTGTACAACTACTTCATTTCTGGTCTGTATCTATCTTAAAGTCGAGTCAATAAAATAGGGTATTTGTGGATTGTGGATAATTACATAATTACATCCATCCCTTGCAAATAATAGATTTCTTCATTAACACCATTTTGTCGGGGTGAATGTAAGAAATTTACAAACTGCAGGGGCTGGATGTATTTTCTTAAAAATAAGGGATATTTTCATAATTAAACTTTACCACGGGATATAGATTGTAATTTTCCCTTCATAAAAGTCTTTTTTTTTTTACACTTACATTATATTGGTCTTTAGAATTACATTATTTCTTTTGTAAGTTTTAATTAATACAAATAAAAAAATTCCAAAAATAAATTTGACAAAGAACAAAAGCGAATGAAAAGTTTAGTTGCGATGGATCAATCCTGTAGCACACGAAGATTCTAGAATCCACCAGAAAATTGAAAACAAGTTTTTCAATTCTAAAGTTCTGGAGTCTAATCCGAAAATTGTAGTACATGAAAACTCTAGAATCCGAACCAAAAAATTTATATTTTGAAACAAGTTTTCTCTTTCCAATTTTCAAAAAAAAAATCCATTTTTTTTATTTTTATGAACGTAATCGGATTTAGTTTTTCGCTTCTGAAAAATATTGGAATTTTTTCGAAAGTGTTAATTCCATCCAGACTTCCACCTCTAAATGGCACTAATGAGAACAAGAGGATCACGAAAAGACACCTAATTATTATTTCAAGGATATTTAATAAGATTCCTTATATTTTTGTCTTATTTTGAACCTTTTTTCTTTAAAATAAAATGCTACGGACAGAAAGATTCCACAAGGGAACTTAAAAAAAAAAAAAAAAAAAAAAAAAAAAAAAATTGACTTTTGTTGGGTGAAATTAAAAAATAGATTAAATACAACCATGATATATATATTTAATAGGAAGAAAAAAATTAATTTGATTCGTTGTCTAGGGAATAATATTATTTAAGAGAACTACTTACAATTATTTACAAAGATGCCAGCAAAATCATGCAATTAGGACAAACTCATCTCAATAATTAAAATTAAAATAAATAACAAGGAAAAATTGAGGGGCAAAAAGAAGCATAATAAAATACTCATCAAATAATAAAATAAATTATCAAAAAAAAAAAAGCATAATAAAATAAACTCATTTTCCTTGAATGGTTTTATGATATTATTGTTCATCAAGACTTTCATGAATTGTCAAGGCAATTAAGATTTTATTGCCTTCAATATTACTTTGTCTAATGTAAGAAAAACCAATATAATATTATAATTCAATAATTTTGGTGTTAATTAATCATAGAAGGGGGCAAAAACTATCCTATGGTTCGTTTGAATACCAGGTTGTGACACGTTGTGTCGCACGGATACGCGCAGTCGATAGCTTTGACGCTCGCTCGATCGAAATACCAATCTCCGACTGCAATTGCCACCGGCTGCAAAATTTGTTTAAAAAAATAAAATGGTGAATAAGTAAATTATTAAACATATATAATAAGATCATCCTTGAAGAATAAAAAACACATGAATTAAATCGTAATTTTTGCTACTTTACGAGAAAAATACAAGCCATCAAGACAAAGTATCCGTATAGCTATTGTATCCATTATTCTCAAGAGGAATTTTCCAAATTGTCATAAAAGAAGACAGAGTCGAAAAATAAAAAAATCGATACACTTGGACCTCGTTTCTTTGTCATGATAAGTATGCAATCATAAGAGAGTCCAATTGTATAATTATTTATACATAAGTATGCAATCGTAAGAGAGTCCAATTGTATAATTATTTATAAGATGTTAAAAAGAGCTTATAAGATGTTTAAGAGCTTATAATCTCTTTCAAAGTGTTTGGTAATTTTTTTTTTAAAAGATCTTAAAAATTTTAAAAATAAGTTGTCGGAACGCAAATAAGATTTTTTTTAAAAAGTATCTCTATCTCACCTTTTTATTTAAGATATTATAATGAGTAAAAAGAACTTATAAGTGCATTATCCAAAACTTTAAAAACTATTTCTAACAATAAGACGTAACAACTTATCAATTCTTAAACCAATTCTTAAACCAGCTTATCAACTCTTAAAACAACTCTTAAAACAGCTTATCAGACGTAAGATGTTTAAAATAACCTTAGCCAAACGGGCCCTAAGTGTCAAATTTGATTAAAAATGATGTAAAAGTATACAAAAAAGTATTATGAGATGCAAAACACAAAGGCAATACAAAATATTAAAAAAGGCAGATAATTAAAAAATAATTAAAAAAAAAATTAAAAAAATTACCTTGTTATTAATAATGGGAGAATCATCGGCAAACCACGTATCTTGCCTCTCCGACTGGCAATGAGCAAAACAAGAATTTATAAACAACCCGTTTTGTTTCGAGGTTCCAAACCCTTTTACTGCATTCAGCATTTCATTCCTAAAACCTGCTCCACCAATTTTATTTTTTTGAATAAATAAAATAAATATTAATGAATTTCAGGAAAATAACTCAAAATGCATGCATGAACAAGCTTAAGTAGAATTTTTTTTTTTACCTTGTAGAAATTGGATTTGTGTAGCTGAGCATCGTTCGTTATTCAATTTACAATCGTGCCAATTACCATGCGGATCGGCAGTTGGAGGAGCCAAACTTGCTTGGACCTAAAAAAAACAATATAAACATTTAATACGAATATTATAATATATAAATATTTGTATGCAATTAGATAAATAAATTGAAATTGAATTTACCTGCCATGCATCATAGGCCGCGTTGAGAAGAAAGAGAGGGGTTTTAATATTGGCGATTAAATTCTGAGGGAAGAAGCACTGACGAAAAAATAGAGACAGAAAAATGAATGAGTAATCGAAAATAAATATATAATATATAGAAATTATAAATGCTCGATGGAGGAAATAATAATAATCGAAGGAGTAGACTTACTGAAGTTGGGTCGAGGCGATCGGTGCAAGTGGTTGGCAGGTTTTTCTTCACACCCTGTAAAATAAATACGAAATGATATGTTACAAAGTTACTAAATAAAATTAAATAAAAAAATTAAATTAAACAACCGTCATGTTTATATAAGTGAA